CTGCACCACAGGGGCTCACCTCCAGTAAGAGCTCCCCACTCTTCCCCTCTTCCCCGGGCCCGAGACCGGTCACTGCAAGGGAGAGCGCTGGCTCTGCCCCTAGGCGATGCTGGCTTTGCCTCTCTGCCTGGGCAGGCCCTGGCTCAGGGCCGGGCCGTTTTTAGCCTGGAACCGAGCAGGGTTGGCAGTTGGGCTTACTCCGCATCTGAGAGACGGGAATCAATAACCCAAAGCCACTTACTGGGCTGGGAAGGTCCCGGGGGAAGCTCAGGATGGGAAGGCTAAGGAAAGCAGCCCCACGCCACGCAGAGCTGGAAGATAAAGGACACAGGGCAGGCTGGCGGTCTGTCCATCCAGCCATTGGTCTGCATGGTTCCCTGCCCTCTGGGGTTTAGTGGCTACTTGTCCATCTGTCCAGGTCTCTGTCTGACAGGGTAGGAGCTTTATCCCCCTCCCGCTCCCTCCAGCCCGGCCCCAAGGTGGCTGATAGAATCCCAGGCCGAGTCAGCTGCCAGGGACCAGACAGGAAAGAGACGTCACCAGCCCTGAGTGTAACTCAAAGCAGATGGGGCCGTTGTGTTTGCCAGGACCGCAGGGTGGTCACAACAGGAACTGGTCAAAGGCTGTCAGCAGGAAATGGTCTGGGAGGAAACTCCCTAGGCTGGAGGGGAGAGGGAATTAGTTCACAGGCAGCTTTAACCACTTCAGTGCCACTGGTACGTAACACCACCGCTCACCCCGGCTCAGTTCAAACCGCCCACACAGGGGCCTCAAACTCTGCCCTCTGACCTGGGAAGAAGGGTGTGGAAATACAGCTGGGGCCCCCACAAGGGGCAGAGCTCTGGCCCACCCATGCTGCCTGGCCCCACACCCTGAGTTGGGGCAGCCGGAGGTTTGGCCACCTGGTGCAGCCAGCCCTGCAGCAGGGCCAGGGCGAAGGGGTGAGACAAATCCTGGCTAAAGAGAACACCGAGTCCCCCGTGAGAGAAGAACTGGCCTCAGCCCCCCCGTGGGGAAAAGCTCCCACCGGAGGCACAGCTGGGCACTGCTGCAGGGAAGCTCCCAGAAGTGGAGGCTAGAGCCCAGTCCACACTGGCGAAAACAGCAGCATTGCCGGAGCCTGAGCCGCGCGGACACTCGTCTCCACCTCCAACCCAGGCACCTCGGCTGGTGCAGCAGGACGGTGCAGAGCCGTGTCTGGCCCCGCAGGGTCGATCCGGCTGGGGAGTGCTGCCAGGGAAAGGCCGAGCCTCCGGCCTGACTCACTCTCCTTCCTCCGTCTGATTCCAGCTGTGGGAAACAGCCTCTCCCCCTTTCCCGCTCCATTAGCCAGTGGGAGAGATGTGGTGAAAGTGACAGGGAACGCGGTGCTGCCAAGCCCCGAGCAGCCAGCTTCCAGTGCTGTGGTGGCAAGGGGAGAGGCGCATTTTGGTCTCTCCCAGAGAGGGGCCTTGCTCCCATCTCTGAGAGAGAGAGACTGCCAGTGAGCAGGGGAGGCGGGTCAGATCGGGGAGCAGAGCCAGCTGGGGTGGGGGGCAGAGCCCGGGGCAGGCAGGGCCCCCTGACCCAACCCCAGCATGCAAGCGAAACGCCTCATCCCAGGCAGCTTTCAGTAGAGTACCGTATCTGAGGCTCAGTGGCCCAGCCTCCTCCCCTACAGCCTGTAACACCCCCCACCCCAGCCCCCAACTGCACCATCCCCTTTTGTCTCAGCCCTGTTCAAACAGCAGCATCCAACCTCCCCCCGTCAGACAGAGCCTCGGGGGGCATATTCCACCGAACCGTGGGTGCAGCCTCCAGCTCCAGTCCCGGCCAGCCTGCCTTGGCACGTTACCGGCTCAGCCCCTGGCCTAGCCATGGCATGTGGGGACAAGGGACACTCGGGGAGGAAGCCCGCTAGGTTGTTGGTATGTAAATTTAAGGGCCACAAGAAGAGGTGAGGGTGGCAGGCCTGGACCTTCAGCCCTCTGCTCCGCCACAGAATAGCCACAGCACGGACAGCGGGGCTGGAACGTCCCATCTTCCCCTGCCACTAGCCTCTGCTCCAAACTGCAGGGAGCCGAGGGGGAGTGAGCCCCTGTCCTCGCAGCTGGGACGCCAGGGAAGGTGGTGGGGTTTGGGCTGTGGATACCACCCCACTGGCAGCTGGACTGAGACCCAAGCTCGGTTGACACAGGCCCCCTATGGGCAGATGGTAATGAGTCTGGCCCTTACAGCCTGGCTCCAGCTCCCCACTTCCCGGCTAAGCAGAGAGTCCCCCGGCCCACACACACAGAGTACCCCACCCCCCTCCTAGCAGCTTGGGGACCCAATTCCATTGGATATAAGTTCTTATCCCGCACGTAGCTCCGGAGCGGGTGAGCGCCTGCCCCTCGTGCACTGAGTGTCTGGAGAGGGGAGAGGACAGCCAGCAGCCGGGGCAGAACTAAAGGGGCATCATTCTGTGAGCAGGGTGGGGAGTGAGGGAGGGGGCTGGGGACTGGAGAAGGGGGACATGAAGCTGCAGTGGAAGGAAGATCCTGCTCTAAGGGCCAGGGCCTAAGAATAAATGCAAGAGTCACTTCAACACCTGGCTTCTCACCCACCCAGCACAAATGCCCAGGGCACCCTGTGGACAGGAGCCAGGGACCTGAGACGCTGAATCCTGAGCATCTACAGAGAGCCGGGGTTCAATCCTCAGCTCTCCTACGTCTGCAGGGAAGAGGAACCCAAAGGTCCAGGCCCCAGGCTGGCACCGCAGCTGGCTGGTAGCCAGGAAGCAGTTTTCAGTCTAAGGCAGCGACTGGAAAGCGGAGGAGCTGCTCGGATCACCCCAGAGAAGCTGGGGGAGGCCCAGCTCGGGCAGAATGGTTCCGTAACGGCCCAGTTCATTTCACATGGGCAGGGAGGAAATGCTGAAGGCGGTGAGAAGATTTAACCCACTCGCTGTCTCAGGGCCTGCTCCTGACGGGGACATGAAGACCTTAGCATGCGGCCGCCTGGGGCTCAGAGCCAGCCCCTCCCACCTCGTACAATACAATCCACTACAAGCGCTTGGCATCGGACCTGTACATTTATTTACATTAAGCCGAGAGCTCTGGGGTCTCTCAAGAGAACGTACATCTTTCTGCACTACTGGGGGGCTGCTGCTAGGGACGGCACACATATACGGAGGCCGGGGGCTGTGCTCTGCTGGGCAGAGGAAATCCAGCGGCCCCTGGGTGAAAATGGGGCAGAGGGAGAAGGGTTCTAACGAAGAGACCTCAGCTGGTGTAAACTGGTGCAGATCCTCCGAGGTCAACGGAGTCCCACCAACCTACCCCAGCTGCGGGGGTGGCTCAGAGCACGTGCTGTGTGTGAGGCACTTTCGGGCTGGGCCAGGTGCTGTCTGGTTGTTTCTGTGACTAACAGATACAGGCTGCCGTTAGCTAGCAGCCCCCCCTTCATAACGAATCGCCCGTGGACCACACCAAGCCCGGGGGGTCAGTTGGGCGGGAAGGGGCGTGGCCTCACACTCGTTCTGCAAACCCCCTCCCAAGAGAGGCACAAGCCCTCCGACTCCATGGAGGATCCCCCCACCCCAACCCCTACATCAGCTACTACATCAGCACGCTGGGCCACGCAGGAGCTCCTGCATCACCAGGGGAGGCAACTCCCACCCTAGAGGGGCCTACATGCCCCTGTGCAGTTCAGACATCACTGGCAGGTCGGCAGCGGGTTTCCCTTGGACCCAGCCCTGCCCGCTGTTGAACAGGATGGAAGGCAAAGGAAACGCCACACCCTGAGGGAGCTCCCACACTCTCCTCCCATCGGGGGGTCCCTGGGCCCTGCGAGCGAAGGGTAGTTCCTGTGCGTTGGTGGTCAGGGCTGAAGCAGTCCTTTCATATGTGCGAGGGGGAGAGGCGAGCCCAGCTGGTCTGCATTAGGATGCGCTCTTGCCTTTATCTTCTGGGGGATGTGTGAAGGGAAGGTTGTGTTCTCCCCCCCGCTGGCAGCTCAGAAGGGCAGGGAGGTTAGGAACTAGCACAAAGCCTCGTTCTTTCTTCCCTGGCCTCCATCTGGGGAACGCGCCTGGAATCTGTGCTCTGCACTTCCTCCTTTCCTGTGCACGGAGCCTCCCAGCACTAACAGGAACTCGGCCCCGCAGCCTGGCTTCTAGGACCCCGATCATGGGGAGAGACGGTTTTCTGCTCAAGCAGCAGCCTCGCGTGCTAGTCCAGCGGTGAGCAGATCCAGAGGCAGGCAGTAGCCATCCTACCTGCGGGCCGGGGAGTGCACACTGCACTCAGGAGCTCGGAGCACAGCTCCAGACAGCCATACACAGATGTCATTGCATCCTGAGGCCGTGAGCATCAATGCCGGTGACGTTGCCATGGCGTGTCTCCTATTGCACTCAGAGGCCGAGAGCAGGAATCTTGGTTCTCAGGTAGTGACTGGTGTGTGGTGCGTACTGAGCCCAGCAAGAGAAGGGACCTTGCAGCACTCAGCAGGCTGGTCTGCGTGTCCCATTGCAAGTCTCAGAACGGGAGTGGAACACGAACAGCAGGACGCAGGGAATTGCAAAGTGGAGTCTAACGCTGCTGCAGTCTAGGCTTTGCAAGGTGCTCTCCGCACCTCCGGTCGCACGTGCGGTGGGATTCCAATCGGCAATTCCACAGCTCGGCGAGTTCAGCGCCGTCGTCTCACTACAGCAAAGGATCCAGGCCAAGAGCAGCACAGGGGATACAGAAGGGACCGGGCCTGGTAATTGCACAGTGGTTAGGATCAGGAGCCTATGGGATGCAGCGGGGTAGCTGTCACAGCAGCACAGAATCTGTAGCAGGGATACAGGGTGCTAAGCTGGCAACACCACACGTGTGTGAGCTCCAGACCAGTAATCTCCATGGGATCAAAGGTGTAGTATGTCCTAGTGGTACAGGATCCAGGAACCGCGTCACAGACAGCGGGAATTCCAGTGTGGTGGTATTGAACCAGCAGGAGATCCACAAAGGCAGCTTTGCAGCTGCCTGGGATCCGGATCCGGATCCGGAGCCTCACACAAGGCACAGGACCGAGAGGCGTCATCTCACAGCAGTTCGGGAGCCAGAGCAGCATTATCCCGGTGGCCCAGACCCTAGAGCAGTGGCAGTGCGGGATAGGATCTACAGCAGGAATCTCATGGCAGGGACAGAATCTAGAGCAGGACTCTCAGCAGGATGGGATCCAGCGGTAATCTCACCGCAGTAGGAGCAGGAATTTCACATCTGTACAGAACTGGGATAGCTCAATTCATTGCCCCAGCGGTGAACTCCTTGTGTTTGGGAAGCGGATTGATTCCGAACCCAAGTGGAGATCCTACTGCCTCCAGAAGCAGGGACTACATGCCACTTTCCGGTGCAGTCCCTGGGGAACAGGCCTTCAATCCACAGCTCAGATTTCAGGGGATCACCTATTGGCCTTGCACAAATCCCACCCAGCTCAGCCCCGCACTCAGACACCCAGTGCCGTCAGGGATCCCGAGCTGCTGATCTTCTTGAATCGGTTGGCAGCACACACACCAATAAAGTTTTTCTGTTAGGGAAACAAGAAAGAAGTTATTCCCCATTTGGAGCCTGGACAGCGCTCGTTAAAGAGGCCTTTCTTAGGGGATGATGTAGGACTCAGATGGGGAGTTCAGATACTCCAGTCCCTAACTCTCCCAGCACGGGACACCGCAGGCGCGCTAGGAAGTGGTAGACAGCAATGGTGGTTCTCAAAGCCAGAGGATCACTGAGGATCCCCTTATGGGCCACTGGGGATTCACCGATCTCTTTCCACCAGGCCACAGAGCTGCTTCGCTTGACCATCTGCCAGTCTTTGAGCAGTGACTCTTCCAGCTGCCTCTCACCCATGCTCAGAAGCCTGGAAGGTTTTCAGAAACTTCTTAGCCAAAATAAGCGGGACACCCACAGACGTCCCTGTCCCCCTGCATGGCTTCCCAGCACCGGCTCAGCCAGGACAGAAGTGAAGTGCAGAGCGCCCTGGAGAGCGGCGGGGGCTGCTGGCAGCGAAGCCCAACCCCCACCCAGAGGAAACCAACAGCACAGATCCAGGCTAAGGGTGAGGCTGTGGGCAAAGGGAGTGGCTCCCCCCATTGCAGTCCGATTCCTTCTGTGGCCAAGCCCTGGGGCAAGCACGGAATCAGGGGGCAGAGACCCTAGAGGATCCCGTAGGTAAGGAACAGTCCCGGATGTGGGGTGCACGCACAGGGTGCCCCTTACACAGGACATGGGGGATGGTGACGGCAGGGGATGGAAGTAAGGGAAGAACCACATGAGGAATAAGAGACATTTCAGGGGAACTCCCCATTAGCACAGCACGATTCCTCACTCCAGAGACCATTTCTGCTGCCCTCGAGTACGCCACGCAATTACCGCTCGATCAATGTCATGTTTAATATGGTCCCCAGCATCATTTTAACATCAGGGACGGGGGGGTCACCCTGAGGGACAAATCCATGAAATCAGGGATGGGGGGGGTGAGAGTTGGGGCAGCAGCTCCCCTGGGCCTTAGGGCACACAGACGCCCTCAAGCTCTCCCTCCTCACTGCCCCATACTGTTGGCAGAGGTAGGGCCCCATCCTCCTCTCCCCCAGGAGTCCTACCACGGCTCTCTGCTGCCAGTTCTGTGCACTCGAGTGGGGGCAGAGCGCTCGCTCTGGGCACAGCGCTCGCTCTGGGCACTCCCGTCCCCCATTCCCTTCAGGGAGCCAGCACCCCAGCCAGCACTTCTACCCGCCCCAGGGGCTGGCCTCCCCTCCCAATGCAGGACTGTCCCCATTGCACACAGCCTTCTTCGTACCTTCCAGCGTCGCCGCATGACGTACTTCCGGAGCAGGACCTGGGATTTCAGGCGCCGGTTGCAGCGCTTGGCCTTCTCGGCCAGGTTGTTCAGCCAGGGGTGCTGGAGGCACTTGGCCGCGCTCATCCGGCCGCTGCGGGGGAGAGGAATGCAGGTGACTCCTGTCCCTAGTGGGGTTCGATCGCCCCAACGAGCCCCCCCCCATTGCTCCTGCTTTCCACTCCCCACCCCAGACCCATGGGTGCTGCCAGCTGCCCAGGCCTGTGTTAATTAACCCCAAGAACACACTGAGGGAAAGGAGGGTGCAGTCACATTCCTGCACAAGCCCCGAGGCTGCTGCCGGCCACGTGAGCCTAGCATCCTCGGCTGCCTCCTCTGGGCAGGGTCCCAGACTCCTCTGACCCGGAGATCCCCCATGGAGGCAGGGGCCAGGCACCAGAGCCTGATCTCTCCTCCCTTCCCTGCTTGGAAAGGACTCCAGTCCCCTCCCTCTTTCCAAGAGCCCTGGTTATGAGACGCCTTCCCCAGGGCCGGGATCCGGCCGAGCCGTCAATGCTGCATGGACCCTGCTGTTACCATGGGGTGCAGCCGGGGGAATGGGCAAGAGGAAGCTGGCCAGGTTGTCAGTCAACATGGGTGCAAGGACCCACGTCGTCCTCTTGGGGCTGCCTGTCTCTGCACCCCCAGCGAGCTTGGCAAGGCTCAGACAGGAGCAGCCAGCCGTTGCACCAGGCCAGGCCGCGGGAGCGCCCGGGGAAGGGTCAGTGCTCCCACCAGCAGGGAGCGGGGTCGCTTGCCCCCAGGTGGGAGGTGATGGACGGGGGCTTGCTGCCGTAGGCTGGCTCAGCCCTGTGTGCATGATGCCAGCTGTGCTAGCCGGACCCAAACGCTCTGGGCCGCCCTCGGCTAGACCCAAACCTCTTCTGCTTGATAATCAGATTCGAGACGAAGTCCTTGGCTTCGTCCGAGATGCCCTCAAAGGCTTCCTCGTCGAAGTACCACTTGGCTTCCAGGACGTTGTTCAGGGTTTCGGTGTCGTCATCTCCCAGGAAAGGGGAGAGGCCGCTTAGCCTGGGAAGAGAGGAGGAGGGGAGGGAGGGAACCATCACAGGTCTCAAGCTGTGCTCGGAGCTCCTCAGGAAGGGACAAGACGCAGGCCCTGTTTCCTCAGCGGGTTCCCAATTCCTTCTGCACAAAGCCACTCGCTCGCTCCCTCCCTCTGCCTGGGATCATGAGGAGAGAGGCAGGGAAGCCAGCGCTCTTAGAAAGGAACCAGTGTGTTCCCAGCTGGCATCTTGCTGCGTTCCCATCCTGTCTCAGCTGGGAGAGGTGAGCCATTTCCTGTCCACGCGCACAGCCCGCCCCTCCCAGATGTTCCAGCCACCCAGCTCCGAGCAGCCGCTGGACGGCTTTCCACTCCCTTTGAGAGAGGGCAGTTAGTGGTGGGGAGAGGTGCCGACTGGCAGGGTCAGCCCTGAAGGCTGGTGGCCTCTATCCACATCGCCTCAGGCACTCGAGGAGGTATCCTGCCTCGTTTTACAGATGGAGAAACTGAGGCTCGGAGACTGGCCCGAGGTCACCTGCCGCCTGGACTGGGACTCAGGAGTTCTCTTGCCAGCCCTTGGCTCTAACAGCTACCTCGTTCTCCTCTCCCACACAGCTCTGCCGCCAGCCCAGCCACATCTAAGGGTAAAGCCCAGAGTGGTTCTCACCCTCCCCCAGCCCGAGAGCCACCCACCCTGTGCCCACGCTTACAACATGTAGGTGATCACGCCCAGACTCCACATGTCTGTCGAATAGGAGACTTGGTCGTAGTTCACCACCTCCGGGGACAGGAACTCGGGGGTCCCAAAGTTCACTTTCAGCTTCTCCCGGGGGTTGTATCTGTGGGCAGGAAGAGCCGGGTCAGTGAGAGCTCCTGGCACTGCCCCGGGGCCAGCACCCCCGCCCGTCCACATTCACCACCTCCGCCCACACGGCACCCTGGCTCTATGCTGCTCCAACCCAGCGAAGAAACATCCTGGCTTGGCCCCAGCCTGAGCCAGAACCAAGCCGGTTATTATAACGGCCCCAAACCGCTATCCCCTGCGGGGCACGGCTGACTCGGCAGAGCTGCTGCCAAGCCCAGACTGCAGATTCCACCCCACCCCGCTGGGATCCCTTCCTGCCTTTCCCCAGGGCCCACAGCGGGGTCAGGCAAAAGGCCAGTGCAGCTGGTCCCCGAGCGTGGCCTTTGCCCAGCCCCAGAGGACGTGGGAAGGGAGAAGAGAAGGAGCAAGCCAGGCCCCGGAGGGAGGGGAGTTACCTTCGCGCCAGCCCGAAGTCGATGATCTTCACCATGTGCCCCGTGGAGGTGACACACAGGATGTTCTCAGGCTGCAGGGATGAAGTTCCTGAGGTTAGAACCCAGCTCACGGCTACGCGCCCGCCTACCCCAGCCCAGGGAGCGGTTACTGGCCACCCGCAGAGGAGTTTGAGGCCCGCTGGAGGCTAGGCCAGTTTTCCCCTCTGTCCCTTAGACGCATCAGGGACATAGTCTGCAGGGTTCTCAGACCATGTACAGCGCCAGTCCTTGCACCTCAGTGGAGGCCACTGCACCTTTCACATCCTTGCCCCGAGCCCCTATTAAGCACTGGGGTGACGCAGAAGCTTGGAGCCCAAGAGGAGTTAAAATCCCCGCCTTTCCCAATGCAATCCTAGTTCTGACTGCCAGCGTCTCCCGGGCCAAGCTGTGACTGGAGCAAGTCCGAGAGAATCGCCTCTCCCAGCCTGTTCCTTGCGCAGCCCCCTGACATCAGAGTACCTCGGTGGACGCCGGGATTGCAGTTTGTAGGTGTGACGAAGTGAGGGGTTTTCTTGTTTTCTGTGGGGTTTCAATGGTTTGCATGCAGAGGGGGTGGGACTCGATTTCCCTGGGTGTTACTGGTTTAACGAGGTGAGGGGAGGGGGAGTGTGTTTTGCAGAGGACCGGAGAGAGGACGTGGGGACCCAGCCGGTGGCCGGGAGGATGGATACCCCAGCGACTGGCGACCTGGTGACCCAGAGGCCCAGCTGAGGAGACGCAGCCGGTTCTGGCCAGTGGGAGGACAATGGGCTGCAGAGTGAGGACCCAGAGACCTAACCAGCCGGTTCCAGCCAGAGGGAGAAGCAGGATGGGAGGCCCCGGTTTACGACCCTGTTTACCTGGAGGGAAAGTAAATGGACAGAGGCGGGGCCTGGGGCCGGTGATCTCAGATGCCCAGCTGGGAGCAGGGGGGCTCTGGGCTGGAGAGGGGGAGCAGGCGGAGCCCACCTGGATGCAGAGAGACTGGGATGTGCTGGGCTGAGGGAGGCCAGGCCTGAGGGTCAGAGAGTTTCCTGTGCTGTGTTCAACTCTCAATAAACCCTTCTGTTTCCTGCTGGCTGAGAGTCACTCCGGTCTAGAGAACAGGGTTGCATCAACCCCTTCGGGGGTGGAGGCCCCGGGGGTCCAGAGCGAGTGGACTCCCTGAGGGGGCCCACGGCAGAGACAGACGTGCTAAGGCTCAGAGAGGTGCGGATCCAGGAGGTGGAGGGGCCAGACCCCGAGAGAGAGTGGACCCTCGAGAAGGGCTGTCTCACTAAAAGGGGCACCCCCCACGGACCGCACGGGGCCTGACCCCAAGAGAGTGGACCCCCGAGAAGGGCTGTCTCACTAAAAGGGGCACCCCCCACGGACCGCACGGGGCCAAGAGTGGGCACGATCTGTGAGTCCGTGACAGTAGGCACTGAACGAGAGATGGACACTGCGCGGTCACCCTTCCAAATCCTGCTCCTAGCCCCACCCAGACCAACCGCAGCGATGTGCCACAGATCCCCCTCGGCTTTCCCCAGGCCCCCTAGAGCCCTGCCCCCAGACCACACGCTGAGATCTGCCCTTTGAATAGCCTGGAACCTGGAACGGAGCCCACGCTTCTACCTGCATACAGCCCACAACGACTCAGCTGGGCTGGTCTGCAAAGCCAAGACTCCAGCCTTGCCAGCCCGCGGAGCGGAGCCCAGGGTGATGGTCTCCCTCTGGGGCCCAGTGCTGCCACCACCACTGAACCGCGGGAGTCCTTGTGCTCAGGAGTTGGAAGTTCCTGCTTCTGGAGGCCTCTTCTCCCCAGACATGATCCAGGCTGCGCTTGTCACGCATTCACGTACCGAGCTCCCCCCAGGCAGCATGCGCCCTCCCCACGCCCCGGCCCCACAGCCAGGGGCTGTCTTCTCACCGAGAGCAGCCCTTCAGCCCAGCTTCAAAACCTAGGAAGGTTTCCCCTCTAGCCCCCCAGCCTCGCTGTACCCCCTCCCTCCCTCCCTCCGCACGTGGCACCTTGAGGTCCAAGTGCAGGACGCGCATCTGATGCATGAAGGTGATCCCGTCGCAGATCTGCCTCACGAACACCATGCAGTCCACTTCTGTCAGGTGGTAATCCTCGTCGATGATGCGCTCAAAGAGCTCCCCGCCCTCCACACTGTGCACAGACCAACCACAGCGTCACCGGACTGCGCCAAGCAGACCCCAGACAGCCGAGCCGCCCTGCCCTGCATAGAGACGCTCCCCTACGCGGTTCCAGGGGCACGGTTCGCAGGACCTCCCCCCGGCCTGGGCACAGGCAGAGCCGGGTGCTGGTTACGGAGGGTGCCCCTCTCAGGCATGGGGATGCAGAGGGTGGGTTACTGAGGAGACCCCTGGCCAAGGCTGTGGCTCAGAGGAACTGGATAGTGCAGGAAGCCACTCATTCTGGGTACAGGTTCGCGAGAGAAGGGGAATTCTGCAGGGAGACCCCAGACAGGGAACAGTCAGAGGGAAGCTGGAGGCAGGGGCAGGCAGCCCCCCATCCTAGGTCCAGGCAGGTTAGTGGAGAGGCTATCCTAGCCAAGATCCCGGCAGAGCAATAGGGAGGTTAGCGAGACTGCCTTGATTTCAGGGGTATGGGCTACAGATCGTCTCTTCCAGACCGGGTACCAGGGACTGGGATGCAAGCAGAGCCGAGCGCTACCTGGGCAGGGAATCCCCTAGCCAGAGCACAGGGGAAGTGGGGAGGAGGAGCCCTTGCTGGGACCTGTCACTGCACTGTAACTCGCACCAGAGGACAGCGGCTGAGGGAGACTGCCCAGGAGAAAGGAGGTTCCCCGCCCTCGGTGAACAAGCACAGCACCGTCGGGAAGCTCCCGTGTCAAGCCACCCAGGCTGCCCCCCAGCCGCTGCCCCATGCTGACGGGTGCTACTCACAACTCCATGAAGAGGACGATTTCCCGTGGTGTCTCGATGGCTTCATAGAGCTGGATCAGGTTCCTGTGGTTCAACTGGTTCATCACCTCGATTTCAACCAAGGCCATCTCCTGCGGGACACGCACCGTGTCAACGCGTGGAGCACGGGCAGGGCCAGGGCAGTCGGCAGCCACAGCCCGCAAAGTCAACACACCAAGCCACCTGCTCACGCACAGCTCAGACGGCACTTCCGCCGGTGGCCGGTCCACACACAGACACAGGCGCACACAGTCACATGTTGGTTCACGTGCATGCGGACTGACAGACGTACACACCCAAACCAGGGCACACAGTGACGCAGCCCCAGGTGCACAGATGTACGTGTGTCTCCGTCCAGGCTAACGCCTGGCTACGCAGACACACGTGCACAGGCAGACTCAGGAGAACACTCAGGACGCACCTTGTCCTTCGAGCCCTGTTTCCTAATGATTTTGGCTGCAAGTTTGAGCCCCGTCCCTCTCTCGGTGCACGTGCGGACTTCGCCAAACTTCCCCCTAGGGCAAAGAAAAGCAGATAGTAGAGGCTGCGATCCCCCTCTCCCCCCGCCCCCGGCATGATCTAGCCAGAGGGCAAGCTCAGAGGCTAGCAGTGGGGACATCCGTGGTTACAATGCCCGTTTGCTGGCATCCCCATAGAAAGGAGTGGGCAGGGAGGTGGGTTACCAGTTCTCAGGGTAACTGACTAGTCACATGAACTAAAGCTCAGTCCCAGGGGGTCACTGGATTCTTGGGGTTTCCAAGCCTGGAGAAGGTGTGTTCCTAAGCTGAAAAGCTTGGGTTTAGCCCCAGAAGCCCCGGGCAAGGCTCCCCTCAGAGCTGTTCAATGGATTTCCTTCGTCCAAGAGGGCACTGATGACCAAGATGCAGCACTTCCGTTCCAGGGAGGAGGACTCCGCAGCATGCCCAGCCCTTGTCAACACAGGGCAGGACTCTACAGATCCAGTCCAGCTCTCCCGCAGGGCAGGGCAGGGCAGGGCACTAGACAGTGGGCTAATAAGAACATAAGAACGGCCCTACTGGGTCAGACCAAAGGTCCATCTAGCCCAGTATCCTGTCTTCTGACAGTGGCCAGTGCCAGGTGCCCCAGAGGGAATGGGCAGAACAGGGAATCATCAAGTGATTCAGCCCTGTCGCCCATTCCCAGCTTCAGGCAAACAGAGGTTAGGGACACCATCCCTGCCCAGCCCGGCCATCGATGGACCTATCCTCCATTAATTTATCTAGCTCTTTTTTGAACCCTGTTATGGTCTTGGCCTTCACAACATCCTCTGGCAAGGAGCTTCTGGCAAGGTTAACTGTGCGTTGTGTGAAGAAATACTTCCTTTTATTTGTTTTAAACGTGCTGACTATTAATTTCATTTGGTGACCCCCTGGTTCTCCCTCTGTGGTCGGGATGAAAGGGGCATACAGGGTCCTGGCAGCACATGGACAGGCACTAGTGGGGCAGCAGAGATGTGATTGGGCCCACTGTTAGGGTGACCAGACAGCAAGTGTGAAAAATCGGGACAGGAGGTGGGGGGTAATAGGACCCTATATAAGAAAAAGACCCAAAAATCGGCACTGTCCCTATAAAATTGGGACATCTGGTCACCCTACCCACTGTACTGAGCTGGGACGAATCTTCAGCCGAACACCTTCAGTGAGGGGCACCTTGTCCCTGTGAGGTGCCAAGTACCAAATGAAGAACATCTGCCCCAGGCAGCCTGAGCACAAGTCTCCCTCCATCTCTGCCCGCTTTGGGGGCTCAAAGCGGGCAGAGCTGGAGAGGGGAGTGGTGGCAAGCCAGGGCTACCACCAGGAGCAGCGCTGGCAGAAATGTTTAATTGAAATTGCCAGACAAGGTCTGAAGGTTTGGAAAGACACGGCAATGGAAACAAAAGTTGGGTTATTTTCAAAAAAGAAAAAGGAAACATTTTGAAAGCATCTAAATGTCCCAGGGCGACATTTTCTGAGCGGAACGGTTTGATTTGGTTTCTAAATGGCTTTTTGAAATGAAAAAAAAAAAACCAAACCCATTGTTTTACAAGCATTTTTTAAGGTTCAAAAAATGACATCAGAACAAACTATTTCAATGGGTCCAAGGGAGAGTTTGGGAAACTTCATTTTGCAGGAAATGTGGATGGTTGGGGGTTTCCCCTCCCTATTTCTAAATAGAATTTTTTTTTCAAAATCATGGAGTTTCCCACAACACAGAAAACACGGCTGGGGCCCGGCTGTGCACCCTGGGCCAGGCTCCCAGCCCCACAGCCCCTCCCTTGGCGGCTTGCTCTTACCCTCCCAGCATCTCCTTGGTGTTGATGTTGAACATGCTGTTCACGGTGCCGGATTTCAGGGTGACAATGCGATGGGTGAAGGGAGCGGGTGGCGGAGGAACATCATCTGCGGAGACAAGAGACATGGGACCACCCAGCTGCTTCCATCTTTCTCAGCCGAGTCTATGGGGCTGGGGAGATCCTCAGGAAGCAGAGCCCCCCCCCCCCCCCCCCCCCCCCCCCCCCCCGCCTGGCTGGTGGACCTAGAGCTTCATCCACTCCTGGGGCGAGGCCGACACCTAGTGGCAATGCCTGGTACAGCCTGCAGCCAGCACCTCCTCGCCTCCCACTCCTGCCCCTTCGCTGCTGAGTCACCGCACGTGGCCCCTCTCTATAAATAGCGAAGGATGCCGCAGACCACCCAGGAGCCTGACAATAAATCAGGAGGTTACCAAGCCCATCAGCAGCTCCAGTTTCGTTCCATAACCCTGTTAGACCCCTTTGGACCCCACCGGTCTCCTTGACAGCCCCCGAAAGATCCTCCCAGCCCCATCTGTAGTCACAGACCCCCGATTCCGCGCTGACCACCAAGCTCCCCCCAAGCCACAGTCTGCATTCCCCCAGCCCTATGCACACCCCACATTCCCTCCCGCTCTGCTGATCCTGGGCCTACAGCCCAGCCCCAGGGCACGTCCATGCTGTGCCACCCAGGCTTCAGTTCTGGAGAGCCAGCCCTCCGATCCCGGCCCTCCGATCCCCACACTCCAACCCTGCATTCCCCACTGCGCACAGCTCGGGCCCCAGCCTGCCCTCCCTCTCAACACCCCGGCACTGTCGGTCTGCTCAGCTCCAGGACACGCTGTCCTAGGCAGGCAATGCGGATAGCGCAAAGCTCTGAGCTCTTGGGATTCCTGCTCTTAGATAGCACAGGGAGAGGCTCTCTCTGGGTCTCGCGCTAGGTGTCCAAGGAGAGCAGCAAGAACAGGCCAGACGCAAAGCGGGCGCAAGGCTTCCCATCCCAGCAGCAGGATCCGGGCTCGAGGATGGGTCAGCTTAGTTTAAAGGGAACCAGTAGCTGGAGCGCCATTGGTGGGCAGTGAATCAGAGACACCGGCACCCTCGCTCTGCCTGGATGGAGTCCACCCCACATAAGAGACGGCACAGCCTTACCCAGTATCTGGAAAGGGTCCTCTTTCCCGAAGTCTGGCGTTAGGTAGGGGCTGGGCGGGGGCTCCAGTTCTTCCTCCTCTGGTGAAGGTGGCTGTTCCCCAGCCACAGGGCCTGTTTTCCCCGCATTTCCGGGGATGTTCAAGACTAGAGGAGGCTGCTTCACTGAGCTGGGTTCTGCAGGGGTCTTGTCTGAAGCAGGGTGGGGTAGCCCCAC